TTGCACGTGGGGAAAAAAACGTGCCTGATTTAAATGTCACACCTGAACGCTCACATCCTTTTAATTATGTTTGAAATTATGAACATTGCTCAACATCATGAAAATTAAATCTTATTTTCAATAAGCAATCCTGAAAAATATTTGGGGGTGCTTAACTATTTTCCAGGTGTATATATTAAGAAAATATTTGTCCTTGTGTATGTGTCGTGTCATTAACTCTTTCCATATGGGGGTAAGTGGATTACACCAACCTTGAACATTCTAGAACATTTAACGTAGTATGTGTATCTTCATGAAGTCAGGCAAGTTTTCGGTAAAGATTACTCATAATTTCATAAGTCCTTTGTACACAAAAAAAAAGATTTGTCCGTGAATACATGGAGTCAAAGTGTAGACTGCTTCGAGTGCAAAGTGATTTTCCTTTTAAGATTAAAAATACTTTTCTTTATCTGAAAATTGTGGAATTTCATTTGCATAATCTTTAAAACCATCTAACCTAATAAGTTTTTAATCTTTATATTTTAGTGACTTTTATAACGGTAAGTAAAAAATGTAGAAGAAATATAAGATATATTTACTACTTGCATTCTTTCTTTTCTTTTCTTGCTGTCTGTTGCCGATGAGGTTTAAGCATTAACATGCACCCTAAAACACAGAATCATAACATACACAAAGCAAGCAATGTCCTGTAACTATTATGATTTAACTGGTTTTCTTACTAGGGCATAAGAACTTTAAAATAATTCTGTCGCTTTAATCACCTCAAGAGAAACTTTCAGACGGAAAACAAAATAAACGATACTATGTACTGAAAACAGTGTAGTACAATACATCATTTGATAGATTAAAACTTTGTCTTTCCATTGGTTATAAATGGTATATTATAAAACACAAGAGGGCATTATTGGCAGTTTTTGAGAGAGGATGTGACAGATAGGCAACAATCCAAGCCAGACTGATTTTCTAGTTTGTCTCTGTTAACAACAAAAACTTTGTCTTTAGTAATATCTATATGATAATGAATAATTTAAATTAAACTCCACACGTCTACTGTACAGACATCTCTTGTCACTACTCTTTACAGTATACAAACTGTGATCAAACATCTCGGTTAATTAGCAGATGAGCAAAATTTAGAAGTAGAGATTAAAGATGTTTTAAATATTTTTCTTTTAAAATTAAGAAATTAAAACTTACGTAATATTAAAACTTGATTTATTAGCTATGTCTTCATGCCAAGATTATCTGTATATATTAATAATAAAATAAGTTAATTAAATTTTGAAGGTAACTCTGTAAAAGATTATGACATGCACATTTTGACCTACCCATACCATGGTGGTTAAGAGCTTTCTTAAGCACTTTTTTGATGTTGGTATTATTAAGAGTATTATTGTTTTTACAGTCTTAAAAACTATCTAGTTAAGAATGCTGGATGTTTTCACTTGACATGTTGCCTGTATTGCGATCCATTCAAACTGGCATTGTTGAATAATATCAATGGTTTTACACAATAAAACTATCTAGTTAAGAATGCTGGATGTTTTCACTTGACATGTTGCCTGTATTGCGATCCATTCAAACTGGCATTGTTGAATAATATCAATGGTTTTACACAATAAAACTATCTAGTTAAGAATGCTGGATGTTTTCACTTGACATGTTGCCTGTATTGCGATCCATTCAAACTGGCATTGTTGAATAATATCAATG